TTTGTATGCGTTGAATTAATTTTATAGGACGGCTAGTTATTTATATGTTTTTGAATTGGATTACGTTAATTTGTAAAAGTTACAAATGAAATATCATTAGTTGTATTTATGTAGTGTTGCTGTAAATATTTAAAAAAATTAATTATGATACGGAACGGAACGGAACCGAACCCGAACTGTTCCATAATTATATTTGGACCCGACTGGTCCATTTATTAAATACCCGAAAGTTTTGGGTCGGTTCGAATCTCTTCAGAACCGAATCGAACCGACCCACGGATAGCCCTACTTACAGAAAAGATATTTATTGGTGAACAAAGTTGTACTTTACCACTTATAAGTGTGAAAAAGGGAAGTCCACAAATGAATAGTGTCTTTGCTATCCTCTCCTTTATTTTTATAAATAAGATAAGAGAAAAAAAAAAGTATAAGTAATAGTGATTTGTAGATGTAGATTAAACAGATAGGTGGAGTATATTTTGATTTTTTTTCATTGTTTTTATTAATTAAGTAAATAGGTGGAGTATATTTCGATTTGATTAATTAACCTCAGTATTGTACATGAACCAACAAAATTAAACGTATTTCTTGTATCTCACGCTATTCAGCTGCATCAATAATGGCATTTGGATTGAATTAGTTATCGTATCGAAATTTCTAATATTATTTCTCGAGTAGGAGAAGAGTAATGTCATTTGTCTTAAGAAATTTACCAAAGAAAACAATCAATTTTTGACGAAGAATGTGAAGTAAGAGTTCGTTAATTATCACAAAAAATATAAAACAACAATTACGAACATTAGTTGAGTCACGACGTTCATATTATATCGATTATGTTCATATTACTTGTATAACAAACATTTAATTCTATTGACTCCTCTCTTTACAAGTGAATCTTCGCGTTCAGTGGCTTGCAAAATCTTCTTTTCTTTTTCGCAGAATTGAAAATAATATTGATAGAGCGCTTACAATGAAGTTTGAGGGCGTATCAACCCAATCACAACAAAAAACTAACACGTATCAAAGCTTTTCAAAGACAGTATTTATCTTTATGCTCATGAAAAAAAATTAAATAAAAAAGCACCACGAAAATAAAAAATCAAAAACACTGGTGATGTTATATGAGGGCACAAAAAAAGTGCAAATAGCAACATAATGCTCTCTATAATGAAAAACCAGAGATCTCATCTGATCTTCATATGTTATACATATATATACAAAAGCATCTTTGTCATAATAACCAGATATTTGATGATTCCTAGTAAAATAGCAGAAGATTGCTCTATAACACCTACAAAAACACCATATCCTAATAGTTTCAGAAACTAATTTTTCTGGTTCGGCAAACAAAACCTGTACAGTGACTTGCCGTATCTAGGCAACGTGCGAGAGTAGGCTTGCACACAGTGGACAAGGTGGATCCCGTCTATCTTCATGGCTCGTTTTCTTTTCCAAACAATCAGCATGAAAAACATGACCGCAGACTAAAACGGCTACCACTGAGACATCGCTAGATGACATAGTGTTCTCAAGGATAAAGGGTTTTTTTCTCACAAGTTTCTGGCATATACCACACTCCATTTTCCGCACATCAGCAGATACTGCATTCATCTCCAACGAACTTGACCTAATTCTTTCGGGCTTATGGAATGTTCCCTCCCTACTTTCTGAGATTAAAACAAGACAAGTAAACAAAAATCTAAGTGAGAAGGCAAGAGTAGGCCGTTTAAAGACAATTAGATCGACCTATACAGATAATCTGAAATGCTAATAAAGTCTACCTTTATGCTGTGAGTCTGAATAGTCTTTACTAGGCCATTTAAAGGACAATTTCGCATCATATACGGGATGACCCTTCCGATTAGAAGTTGATGCTTCATGATGATTAGAGCTTCGTTTAGAGTAACGGCGGCTAAAACAATGATGAGGGTGCCTCGATAATGAACCACAACCAGAACCATGAGGTGACTGGAGGCCTTGTGGTATCTTCATGGAACTATCCCTAATATCCGTAATGGATAATGGAGGCTGTGCCGCACTGCGTTCAGCTTGGTGCTGCATTAAAATAAAAGTTAACAAAAACAATGAGAGAGAGACAGAGAGACAGAGAGAGAGAGACAGAGAGAGATGGAACTATGAGAAACAAACCTGTTTTGACAACATACCCGTCTGAGGCGAAGGTGGCATGAAGTCTGCGAAATTCAAAGAACAGTTATCAGTGACTTCAATAGTAATGCTTAGTCAGGCACGTAACTCCTCAAGTAAAAATATAAAATAAAAATAGACGCAATCAAATCTGAATGTAACAGAGGTGTTATTGAGATAAACTGCATGGAAAACAGGAAAAAGAAAAGGTACATATTACCTGGTGTAAACTATCAACTTAATGAGTATGTAAAAAATTTTGCATTAGGGATCAGAGTCGAAGGATAGAGTTTTGGATGAAGGCTAGAAGCAACTAGGTGTATGCATAACCTTGTAAATGACATCTTCCGAGATTTTAAACTTAGAAGCCAAGTCACCTAACATGGAAATATGGAGGTAAAATAGGAATGTTCAGATAGCATTTAAAGCTACAGTATGCTATAGAAACTTGTCAATACATAAATATGCATAAACTTTTGAGATGTATAAATCAGCTTAATGAGATAACAGGAATCGAGGAGGACTTGTCTACGGAACCAAGAATTGGTAGAAAGCTATTTATGAGAATGTCCAGAGAAAAGGAAAAAATCCTCACGTATCAGACATTATGAGATAGATCTAAACCAAGGATATTAAATATAAAAGGCAAAGTATTTTGTAGCATACTGCCACACCGGTAAGACCACAGAAAGATAAAGAGTAATTGTTTCAACAAATTATTTAATGAAATGCGTATTGTGGATCTTCTTGAGAATTTATAAAACTAAATTGAAGAGAAATGTTAACTATAGTAAAAAAAATTAGGATCTCTGACATGAGAGAGGTTGTAAAGAGGATAAGATGAGAGAAACCAATTGGTCTAGATGAAAGACAAATGGAAGTGAAATTTGAGGGATGGTAATTGCTAGATTATTGCGTAATCAAATATCACCTAGAAATAGGTTGGGTTATGCAATACAGATATAACTACTTAGCATATCAATGGAAAAGTATTAAAAAATGAAACAAGTACATATGGTTTTCTTGATTTACATAATGAGTATAGCAGTATACTCAGTCGTCCATGAAAATGCTATAGTTAAGAGTTATTAAGCAGGGCTGGCTTCGCTTGCACAAACTAGGAAGATGGGGAACCCGATACACCCACAAGATATCAAAGAGTTAGTGATTATAAAAAAGTACGAGAGCCAAATCAAAGAATTTAAATGGCATGCGACTTTACCATCAAAAAAGGGGAATGAGGGTGTAAAAAAATTCACGATCTAAAAGAAAGGATGCAGAAGATGCAAAAATGGATCTTCCATAACGGTTCATCTGTATCAATGTGTAGGAGACAATTTGTGACATAAAATCAACACGCAAGATTGCATATAAATAGGGTGAATTAATAAGAAAAAGAGAAATTATAAATGGGTGCATCTTTTTCTTTCTTACATTTTTTCATAAGAAGGAAACATGAAAAAATGTTTCCATGGATATAACAATCGCAGAAGGCCATAAATTTCACATTTTAGTGAACAATAGAATCCAGATTTCATCACATCATTCTATGGTTAAAGTATTAGTAGCTGACCTTTAAGTGAAGTCTCAGTTGTATCACCAAACCTCTTTTATTTTCCAAATCAGTTTCTTAAGTTTCTTTTTGCTCCAATTACATCATTCCATTAACCTCTTCAAATACACTAAATGGAAAATATGATGTGGCATATTTAAAAATTGGCATGGTCTTGGAGAATTGTTAGCTTGTTTAAATGTCCAACATTATCAAAGGCGTGTAATCAAACATGAAAAAACAAAGATCAGTAACCAAGTAAAATCTCACCGAAACTTCAGCTATAGATGTTCAATGATTAAAGTAAAAAAAAAAATAGTTTAAAAAAAAAAAAGAGATCAATAAGAAAGAAAAGAAAATATTAAAAAAATAAAATAAGTTCGTCTCCTCTCCCAACACTGTCGAGCCTCTCTACAACCATCAGCCACCATAAGTTTAAAACAAAGACCATTAGAGTGGTACAAGCCAGCTCACTACTAGCATTCGCAAAACATATGTTTGGCTCTAAAAGTTCCTAAGGAAGACTATCCGTCTCTTTCCAAGATAAAGGTATATTGGCTCAAATCTGAACTCTTTCAACTTGATAAGTACAAATTCATATATAAGAAAAATAATGCCAGCACCCCACCCCCGATAGGGAGTGCTGTATTGGGACGTACGAAGAAATGTAGAAACTAGTTCCCAACTAAATTGATACACTTGATAATGAAACAAAAAAAATAATAATGCAAAACTCCACACGTTGCCATCAAAACAAAAGCCAATATGTAAACAAACAGTATTTTATCTTTTAATGAATCAAAGGCCTTTATCAAGATACATATTCTCAAGATATATACTTCTATTCATCAAGATATATAATTCCAAGTTCTATTCTTTCTCAAAAAAGGAATTATAACAAAATGTTTAATTTTTTTAAAAAACGGAATTAAGAAATTTCTTAGAAAAATTCAGCCCTTATTACAGCATTTCACTGACCCACCAAAACCTCATCAAAAACTGTCAATCATATAAACAATTAACACAAAATTTACAATATAAAACAGAAAAATTCAATAAAAAAATAATTTACCTGAAGATGATGGTGTTTCATTCAATTCAACTATTCTCTTTCTCTTTCCCATAATTTTTGTGAATTTAACAACCCCACAAAAGGAATTACACCTTTTTACTATAAAAATGAATGTATGTGATCTTTCTCTAGTGTAAAATGAAATTAACAAAATTCGACGGCTGAAAGAGCATCAAAATTTTAGGGTTTAGGCTAATTTAACGGGGAAGATGGGTGTGAGGTGTAGAGAGGATAGAGCAGCGTGGTGCGGACGTGCAGTGAAGAAAATCTACGGAGAGTTCGAGAGATGAAAATGTCCTCGGTTTTTCACTATGCAGTTAATTTTGATTCACGCAGAGAAACGGGAGTTTCTTTTTTATACTTTTTTTTGGTGGCGGTGGATTTAGAGTTCGCGTGGGGTCATTTTGCAAAGGTAATTATATTTTCACACCACATTTTTTTTTATAAATATATAATATTTTAATTACATCATAGCCATTAACTTTTATTCATTATCACCCTTATATTTTTAATCACGTTCTTATTTTTAACAATTCATTAATTTAAAAAATTTTGTACTTCAATTATGATTTTCGTTCAAAAATATTGTTAATATACTTTAAAATGAGGGTGAAATAGTTCATCACATTTCTATATTATTATTTGTTTTGTTTATTTAAAAATACAATAGACATGAGTCCTTTTACTCTATTTAAAAGAGAATTTTGGAGATAAACCATAATTGGAACAATTTATGTTAATTTGAAAATAAGAATACGATAAAAAAAAAAAATTGAAACATAAATGTAATAATATGTAAATATTATGAACCTTTTATGCAACTAAAATGTAGTTTAATTATTAAAAACTGTGATGCGACTATATTTTGCTTTTTTTCTAAAACTCATTTTCAACCCCATATTTTATGAAATTCATAACTTTTATCATTTTTTTAAAAATCAAAATCTATGTAAAAAAAAAAAAGTATATCTAATTTGTAGCTACATAAAATATGGGATTAATTTCACCATGACATGGAATCGAACTTTTCATTTAATTTATTAAACCATGATGACTAGGGAAAGATCCAGGATTTTTGTTGGGAAGGTTTGAATTTAAAAAAAAAAAAAAAGAAATTAATGTAGTAAAATTTATAAATATCAATTCAAAAAATTTATTTAAATTAAACTATTATTAGTAGTAATTAACAAATTGATAAAAATATTAATGACATGATGACAAATAAATTACTTACTAAATATTTAGTAAAATTAAAGAGCATAAAATTAAATATGAGCAAAAATATATAAATAATGAAGGTTTTTAAAACGTGAAGTGTGAAATAAAACTATAAATAATTAAGCAAGTAACAATATTATAAGCCCTGTTTGGGTGAGGATTAAAATCAGTTTTTTAGTAAATTTTGATAATAATTGCTTAAATATGTAATTGAAAAATTGTGAGTTCCATGGCATGTGTGCTTAAAATTAATTATTGATTTTGACTTATATTAAAATTTGAATTTTAATTTGGGAATCAACTCTCAAATAACATCATAAAATTAATGAAAATTTAGATTGATTTATGTTTTCGTCTCTCTCAATCTCCTCTATAGTTTCAATCTTAACAAGAGGCAAATGCCATATAGCTCACATCCTTAGTAAGACTAGAGTTCTCACTTTCATCATATAAGCTAGACTCGTTTATCATTGAGAGTGGCGTTCATAGCCTTACTCAAGGTTTTCTTATAATTTCTTCTCGACTCTAACATGTCCAAAACTCTGACACTCATGACACCTCAGATATTAAGACATTTTCGTGGCATCTCTAGTATCATTCTTTTTAAATATATATATATTTTCTATATTTATTAGTCTCGGAATGTCTCTTATTACTCCTATAGAATTTTCTAAATTTCTTAATAAAGTAAGCAAACTTCTCATTCTTAAGGTATCATTATGATCACTAATCTCTTCAGTAACAATGTTAAGGGCTAAGTTCATAGGTTTAGAGAGACCCTACAAGTTCTTCTATATTAATAGTATCTAGGTCTTTGCTTCCCTCAATAGATGTGACGTTAATTCTAAATCTTTCAGGTATGGATCTCATAACTTTCCTCACAATCTTAGCATCGGGAATTCGTTTACCTAAGTTGAAACTAGAGTTTACTGTATCATTCTGTTTTGCATAGAACCCATCGAATGATTCATTATCGTCCATCCTGATTTATTCAAATCTAGTGGTCAGCATTTGAAACTTAGAGTTTTTCACGTTCTTAGTTTTCTCATGTTTGGTTTCTAATATGTCCCAAGCTTCCTTGGCAATCTCACACATGGTCACCTGTTTAAACTCTTCAGGAAAAATTGTCATAAAGATAGCATGAATAATTTCAATTACACTCAACTAAATCATTTTTAATCCAATTAGAGATATCTGTAAGTGTAACAATACCAGCAACAGATGTAGATGGGGCAGTTCAACCATTTTCTACACCAACCCATGTCCGCTTATTTATGACTTTAAAAAAGATCTCATCATATCCTTTTGTATAGCATAATTGCTTCCGTTGAAGTATGTAGGAACAGAAAGTGATTCGCTTATCTAGACAAAATTGAGACATAGATTGAATTATGCTCTGATACCAATTAAAGTTTACCGATATTTAGACTCAACAACACTTAGCCTCTGTTTGATGGTCATTATTTTGAAAAAAAATGGAGTTTTGAATGATTATTTTTTGGAGAATGTGTGGTTAAAAAGTATTAAAAAAATTTAGATTTACGTGCAAAATATTTTATTGTGTAAATGTGTGGTTGAAAATGAATATTAGAATTAAAGAGTTGAGAAATAATGATTGTCAAATAGAAACTTAGAGTAGGTGAATAAGTGTACAACGTAGAATTTAAATAACAATCAATAAAAGCAATAAGTCATAATTATTGTTTCTAAATGATTAAGTTTGATTAATATTAAACTCGAATTAATCAATCAATCATGCATATCAAAGCAGTAAAAGCAAAATTAACACCAAATATGTTAACGAAGAAAAATCTCTCAAAGAACTCTACACATGGATAAAAAAAAACTCGAGTAAATCTTGTCAAAACGATCCACTAGAAACGATAACTTATAGTTGGTTAGACATAGCTAAATTTTAGTAAACTATGACCACCCAACATGTAAATCACCGAATAACCTCTTCAATTGTGCCATCGACACTTTCCAGCAACTCTAAACTTTTTCTCTCAACATGGATCATCAAGAATGAACCTAGTTCTTCTCCAACTGCCTCTCTCGAACTTTAGAACTTTGAATGATTATTGGTAAATGATTTGATTTTTGGTGTTTGATCTTTGGATCTTTTATGTTTTGATCTTATGGTTAAGGCAAGAGATTTATGGAATATATATAAAGGTTCAACCAATTGCAAATGATGTTTGGGACAAACTATGACTTTGGTATATATAATATGAAGTGTTTGAGGTTGTTTAAGTTGTACAAACTATTGAATTCGTGATCTAGGGTTCATCATATATCACCACCACTCAAGAGCTAAGCGCGTGACTAGTAAACAATGACTCGATCAAAACACTGCATTTTCACTCGAGCACTGGGCCCGTGGCCAGCGAGCGGTGACTTCACTGCATTTTCACTCGAGCGTTCCAATGGCGTACATAGAGTGATTTTACGGCCATTTTTTCTCCTTATTCCATCTTTGACTTCTTCGGTGCATATTCCCAACTTTCGATTCTTTGATCTTGATTACAACTCAATAAACTATGCTTTTGGACACAAAACTAGCCAATACAATTTGAACCTAACACATACAAATATGACATTTTTTAAATAATTTTTTAATTCAACAGTTAAAATTTAAACACAATAATTAACCATTCTTCACTCTACAATCAAATAATAAAAAAGACGAATTAAACCCATTAACAAACTCGAAGAAAAATATTTTTAAAAAAAAAAACGAGAAGAAAAAAAACTGGTTTATAAATGGATATTGGGCTGGAACTCTTATCCACCCATGATGACCACCAAACTTTTTGCTTAGTGTTACCAAGGCCATCAAACTTTAATTTGTTAAACTATAGCCACCAAACTTTTTAGGGTAAATAGCATTGGGGTCCCAAATCTTTGAACATTTTGACAATGGATTCTAAATCTTTGATTTCTAGTACTCAAAAGTACCAAAAACTTTCAAATATATGTGCATAAGGTCCTTTTGTAATTGAAAATGTCAATTTGGCCGTTAAAATGTCAATTTTTGTGCAAAACAACCAGTATACTCTTAATTTGATTTTAAATAAATGAACAAATAAAAGAAGAAAAGAAACACAAAAGGACGTAAAAGATTTTTTTTTAATGAAATAGAAAAGTTTAATGAATAAACTATGTAATTCTAACTATTTCCTATCATTTAATTTCTTAATTTGCATTTGAATTAACGAGGATGGTGATGATAGCGACAACGAAACATGGCGACGGCATGTGTGGTGGGTGGGTATTTGAATTTGGGGAGATTTTGCAAAATGACCTATATATAGTGGCTTTTTAAGATTTTTGTNTCGGGCATAGACATTAGAAAGCTTTGAGACTCCTAGAGTCAGAAATCAAAGGTTCGAGACTCATTATCGAAAGGTTCAAATGTTAGGGGTCCACGGTGATATTTACCCAAACTTTATAAGGAATAAATTAAGAGCATGTTTGCCCAAGATTAAAATCCAATTTTAATTGAAAATATGACCGTTATTGGGTCCCACTCATCTAATAAAAGTTAACAATAACGACTAATTTTTCAATTTTAATCCAATTTTAATCTCAACCAAACACTTCCTAAAGCTCAATGGTCATGGTGAAACATAATAAAGATTGATAGGCATGACGACATAAGTTGAAAGTAAGGTGACAATGGTAGAAATTAACCCTTGAATTTTATCACAAAAGTTTTTATTTATGAAATTATCTTTTCTTTTATAAATTGATTGATCAATGGGATTTTGTCTTTTTATTCGAAGTAAATCACTTTGTCTATTCTGTTTATTTAATGTGATGGAACTGAATATG